ATTATTTCTACTTTGTCACTTTTTATTTTGATATTTGTGCTTTTTTTAAAAAAAATAGGATTTTCAGTCATTTGTCTATTTTGTTGGAGCACCCCAAAGAATCAACAATTTTATTTAATCATAAGTTTTACTGTTTACCTATCTCATTATTTTCTGCCATTTAAGTTAATTCATTTTTAACCTATAATTCTGTTTACCTTAGTCTTTTACAAGATTTATAAATTGTATGTTTAATCCATTTATTTTCATTTTTAAATTTTTTGTATTTTTCAAGCATTTCATGGTAAGAATTTTCCTTGCAGTCCTGTTTTAGCATATCATTTAGATTCTGATATGTAATAGTTTTATTATTAGCATTTTCTATAAGTTTGGAAACTGTTTCATAATTTTTCTTTGACCCAAGAGTATAGTATAATATCATGTATTTTAGTTTGTTTTGAGACAGGGTCTCCCTCTGTCACCCAGAATGGAGTGTAGTGGTGTGATCCTAGCTTACAGCAGCTTTGATCTGGGTTCAAGTGGGATTGCAGGCATGAGCTACCTTGCCCAGCCTAATATCATGTATTTTAATGTCCAAGTGATAAGGAGGTTTTAAAAATGATTTTCTTATTCATTTCTAGTTTTGTTGTGTTATGGACAAAGAACACTGATTTTTTTTCTTTTTATGGCCTACTATGTGATTTATTTTTGTGTATGTTTCCTATACTCTTGGAGAACATGTATCTTCTTTCATTAGGATTCATGGTTCAATTTTGATCTATGAGATCTACCTTATTGATGATGTTTTATGCAACTTACTTTTTGCTTCATTGCCCCTATCTTAGACTAGGAGAAGAGTGTTAAATCTCTTATTTTGGGTGCATTTCTGAGTATTTCTTTCTTTCTTTTTCTTTTTTTTTTTTTTTTTTGAGTTGGAGCCTCACTCTGTCTCCCAGACTGGAGTACAGTGGCCGCTCCCGGCCACCGCAGCCTCGACCTGTTGGGCTCCGGCGATCCTTCCACCTCAGCCTTCCAAGTAGCTGGAACTACAGGCACGTGCTACCACACCCGGCTAATTTTTTTTTTTTTTAAATTGTAGAGATGAGGTCTCACCAAGTTGCCCAGGTGGGTCTCAAACCCGCGTGCTCAGGCAATCCACTCACCTAAGCCTCCCAAGGCGTGGGATTACAGGCTGAGACACCGATTTCTTCCTCACTCTTATGACCATTTGTTTACCTAACCCTGAATTGTACCTTACATCTTTAAAATAAAAAAAAATTTTTTTTAAATTTAAAAAAAGATCTAAAAATTGATCTTCCATACCACCCAGCAATTCCCCTTCTGGGAATATACCTAGAGGAACTCAAATCGCTCTATGAAGAAGATACCTGCACACACATGTTTATTGCAGCATTATTCAAAATAGCAAAAACATGGAACCAACTGTGCTGCCCACTGAAAGTGGACAGGATAAAAAAAAATATGGTACATATACATGATGGAATAATATGCAGCCATAAAGAAGGACAAAATTATGAACTTCGCAGCAACTTGGATGGATTTAGAGTCCTTCATACTCAGTGATCTATCATAGAAACAAAGAACTGAGTACCACATGTTCTCACTCATAGGTGAGCCCTGAACAATGATCATAAAACTACACGAAAAGGATTAGCAGAGGGAAACTGTGGGGGAAGGAGGAAGCACACTGTGTCAACAAGGGTACCTGATCTCAAACCAGGCAAAGTGGGGATTAAAGTGAGGCCCAAACTTTATCTGTACAATGACTGTAAACCTAACCATGAATTGTACCCCACATCTTCAAAATAAAACTTAAAAAGAAAAGAATCTTATGTAGTTTCTGCTTTGTGAAAATAGCTAATGTGTTGGAAGGTGCACAGATATTAATAACTATTATATACCTTAAGAGTCATAATGCAACATTTTAAAGTTTTTTTTTAACTTTTTTTTCTTGAGTTCTACCTTCTCTGATACTAAGAGTACAATCCCTGCTTTCTTTTATATTTACATGTGCCTAGTTCCATTTTGCTTTTATTTTTATTGTTCCTAAATATTTTTGTCTTGTGTGTCTTTTGTGTGCAGCATAAAATTGAATTTTGCATTATTGATTGTTCTGATAATATTTTTCTTTTGAGTGAGTTAAATTTGTTTATGTTAATATAACATATTAGTCTCAATTCTGTAATACTCTTCTTAATAAATGAGTATTTATACAGTATTTTACATTAATAAAATACTGTGTTCATTCAACATGACTCCTTTATTTGTTTATTCCCAATATTTAACCTTAGTTCTACAGTTAAAGAATAAACTGTTTTGCAGATCTTATGCTGAATATTTGTCAATAATATCTTTGTTGGATGCTTTCTTTTTATTCTTTTGTATTTGGAGGGAATACAGGGTTCTGTAAACCTGCTTGGACTTAAATTAAGCCAACAAAGCCCCATTCTACAAAGGTGACACTCTGTAAAATGAGCCTTGAGTAGCTAGAGAGCTGGGAAAATATGCCTCTTAATTTTAGTTGCCTACATATTATTCATTCTTTCCTTTATTCTTACTAATAGAATCCTGATTTTGTCTGGGACCCAATTTATCCACCTGAAAGATATTTCTTAACTTCCCTTGGGATAGGTCATGGGACACATTTCTGGCCAAAAAGACATTATTGAAAATATGCTGGGTATTTTGGGAAATGTTTTGCTTTTTCTTAGTTGGTGCATTCCCTTCCTGATTGTCAATTCTCCTTCCATACATTTATTCTTGCCATTTTCCCCTTTCTCTGCCTCCTCCTTCTTAGCCTTCTATTTCTTTCTGTCATCTTTCCTGGAAAGTAGACAGAAGCTAGAGGTGGGGCAGGCCAATTTCAATCTGGGAGTACTATGGATGGAAAGCCATTTGTAAGTGAGGAAAGAGCAGGAAGAAAAAGACCATGAGTTATTACTGGTATGTTTGTCCTTGGACTTCTCATTTTGTGAAAAAATATATAATAATGATAATAATAATAATAAAATGTAACCTTTTTAGTTTAGTCTCTGTGATTGGATTTATATTACACACAGTCAAACAGAATACCTAACTGATATACTAACTTAATTTCTACGCTTATATGACTCCTCATTCACTTCCTCAGCTTTCTTTCTTTCTTTTTTTTTTAAGTCAGAGTCTCACTCTGTCACCCAGACTGGAGTGCAGTGGCCGCTCCCGGCCACTGCTGCCTCGACCTGCTGGGCTCCAGTGATCCTTCAGCCTCAGCCTTCCAAGTAGCTGGAACTACAGGCGTGCACTACCATGCCCAGCTAATTTTTTATTTTATTGTAGAGATGAGGTCTCACCAAGTTGCCCAGGCGGGTCTCGAACCCGCGGGCTCAGGCAATCCACTCACCTCAGCCTCCCAAAGGCGTGGGATTACAGGCTGAGCCACCGAGCCCGGCTCCTTCTTTCTTAGTGGTATTTTTTAGTTTGCCTCTTCAACTTAAGGCAGATTCATCTTCTCTGTTTTTGACCTCGACGCTCTTTTGGGCTTGATTCACACTCAGTGTCTTATGGCTCCCCACCTCCATTCACCCCAGCCAGCAGATAGGTTTTGACTCTGGTGTCATGTGAACGAACACACAGACACACACACACACACACACACACACACACACACACACACACACACACATATGTATTCAGTTTCCAAATAAAATTTCAGTTCTTAAGGGGGCATGTTGGGTCACCTGTGGGTAACTAGTATCCAGGTGGCAAAGGCAACAATTTGCATAAAAGAAAACATGGAGAATATCAGTGAATTGCCTTGAGCTCCTTCAGTAAGACCTGTGAAAAATATTGTACTTTGATCTTACTGGATGAATGCCTTAACAATCAACGTAGCCATCTTCTAACTGAAAAACAAGGAAATGAAACTACTTCGCAAATATATTTGTGTAGCCTGTGAACCTCCCTCACCAAGATGCTTTAGAGGAAGCTATAATGGTTTGGGTTCTGGAGAAGTTGACAGAGATAATTGTGATACATAGGAAGGTAACATCTGCCCCGAGCAGCTTAATGACAACCATTTTAGGATGAGCACTTCAGGATCCTATTTTTATTGAAACCTCATCATAAGACAAATACAGATATAAACAAAAACTTCTGGAAGATATAATTGTGATTAGACAATTTTAATCTTATTTTTTCACATGAGGAATTTAGTACCAGAGACCTTAAATGATCCTATAGCTAACTCAGGATCCTACAGCTAGCAGTAACCTTACTTAGATAGTTCAGTCTTAAATTTTCTACCCAGTTCAGGAAAAGCTCATCATTATGTAAATGGGTGAGCGCGATTATTACAGATATTACTTGAAATTCATTACTGCTGATCAAAGTATATAAGTAACTTATAAACTTTGGAATCATACTGGTAGGTAAGTCTACCTTATAGGAACAATATGTAGAGAAAGACAGTTGGCAATGCTGCATACAGCAAATAAAAATCTCAAGCGTGGCAATCGGCATGAGACTGGCCTAAGATACAGGCCATTGCAGGACAGGGAGACCAGAGTAGAGGGCATGATGGGCCAACTCAAATGTCTGCAGGTGCCATGCAGGTGCAGGTGCAAAGTGGGCCAGAAATAAGTGTCTAGATGTGTATACTATGTGGTAAGGTGTGTGAGCATGTGTGGGGGGTGTGTTAGGAGCACTATATATGTTATAGTGAACTGGGGAGCACCTGACCCTTTAGAAAGAGGCAGCTGCTCCTTAGCTACAGGAGAGTTTTGCCTTTGGGGTCTAATGTTGCCTGATGACCTACTTTTTCAAGATAAACCAGAAATCAATAGTTTTATAGAAAAGGCACTGATTTTTCAATGTTGGCTCAAATGTTAAAGTTCTGCACAGTCATTCAAAACACGAAGTTATGTCTAAACCCCAGATTTGACTTGTGGGCTACCTGCTTAGGTGCTTGGAAGGAGTGAAGCATGAAGAAGGGCGATCCATAGAAAGAAAACAGACAATGATAAAGAAGTTTGAAAATTTTATTTAAGTATATCTTTGATACATTGAAAGCTGAGCATTTTTAAGACAAATGTTTCAAGAAGAAAGCTCTCTTTCCAGTTTAACTACTGTAGCCCCTAGTCCTCCTTGTCTCCTATTATTATAGTGCAGACAGGTTGTGATTGGAATAATTTCCATTTACAAATTATATTATAGAAAAATAATTTCGTTGCTCAATGTAAACAGGTTGGGGTGCTTTATCCAAAATAAGAAGATAGTAAGAGAACCCAGCACTTTCATATTTTAAAGCTGATATTTTAGCAATATTTTGACAATAGTTTATTACATTTACAATCTTTTGGCTACACAGTGCTAAAAGAAAATGTATTTATTGACATGCAAAGCAATATGGCTTCAGAATATACCTTTTAAATTTACAGAACTTAAAATTTTAGACATCCCAAGTGACTGGCAGGTGATGTTGTAAAGATGGTCTTGAATAGTGACAGACTTATTTCCTAGATATAAAAAAAAGACAATGATTTAACATAACTATAATAACCAAATGGTTATGAACTTATCCAAAAAATATTTTACTAATTTATTTTAATACGTGTTTATCAGTCCCTTCATCTGCAAATCCCTCAAGCTTTTATATAAAAATATTTTCATTTAAAGATTATTTATTCTAAGACTTGCCCATTAAAAAAATTAAAGATTTGTGGATAATTATGAAATACAATTAAAATTCATCAAGGTAAATGGTTATTTTTTGGTGTTCAATTTTTGCTACTATGATTATTAAATTAAGTACTTATTATCATATATATGGCATTTTACCTTTGCACTAAAATTTTAGCATATATAACAACTTTTAATGTGAAACTAATATGTGAATGACAATATTTCCATATTTCATTCATATCTGTGTTTCTAGAATCTTGTCTCTCATAGGCACTCAGTAAATGATTTTAGAATAAATGAGTAAATGGATAAAAGCTATAATGATAAAAATGAATATAATGATGTATTCATATGTTATTTAAACAAGCATAATTTGCATTAGATAGAGATAGCCGACTGTCTCTATCACATGGAGAACAACTTGTAGCAGCATGAAAATCAACATTTATGAAAGTTTTGATGGTTTTCAGAATTGACTAAAAGGTAGTCACCTGTCAGTGATCTTGGTCTGAAGCAACCAGTTTATAAAATCCCTGGTGGCAAGATGATCAAGAACTGTGTTCATCTCATCAGAGAAAGAACCATCAGCATGTCTGCGGCCAAGTTCTTCAACTATAGTGACTTCTTCTGGGAAACTAAGGAAATGAGAGTTAAAATTAACATTTGGTTAGACATTCTAAGTAAATGATTATGAATTGCCTACCACTGGCAACATGCATAAGTGTCAATGAGAGCATGGTAAAGGATTCTATTTATAGCGGGCCTATTATGAAACACCTCATAAAAACCCGTGTGAACTGGTGATTGTTGGAAAGACAGAAAGAAGTAGCGGAGCTGGGAATCTAAAACGAAGCCTATATAACTTCACACCCATTTCAATATTCCAGGTTGCTTCAGATTTTTTAGTATATTGGCAACACAGAAGCTATCATTGAGACTATTAATTTTTCTGTAATTCAACAAAATATATTGCACCCTGTAAAACTCGAGATTTTTGAACAGCCTTCTAAAGTGCAGTGTCAAGAGATTAATGCTTGATCTATATTAGATTCTCTCTTTCACTGGTGTATCATAGCAGAATTTTTGGTATCCTTTTAAAACACTACAAAATATTTTCAAGTAAGCAACTATTTTACCATTGGTTTTATAAGTGTGATTGCTAATGTTTTAAAAATCAACGTCTATACCAATTCCCTTTAATCTTGAGATCTCTGTAAGTCTCAGTAAGCTTGCTATAAATCTAATTTAAAAATTAGAGTTGAACATAAATTCTCTGTCCTACATATTTCAAATGCCAATCAAAATGGTCATGAGAAAATAAGATAGTTCAGGGGTTTGTTTGGTTGTGTTAATATCTAAGCAAGTCAGCCGGGCTCGGTGGCTCAGTCTGTAATCCTGCACTTTTGGGAGACTGAGGTGAGTGAATTGCCTGAGCCCGTGAGTTTGAGACCTGCCTGGTCGGCGAGACCTCATCTCTACAATAAAATAAAAAAATCAGCTGAGCGTGGTAGCGCATGCCTGTAATTCTGGCTACTTGGAAGGCTGAGGCTTGGAAGGCTACTTGGAAGGATCGCCGGAGCCCAGCAGGTCGAGGCTGAGGTGGCCGGGAGCGGCCACTGCACTCCAGTTTGGGCGACAGAGTGAGACTCCAACTCAAAAAAAAAAAAAATCTAAGCAAGTAACTGAAAGTGTTACTCTCATTTTCAACTTTGATTATTTAGTGCTATCTATATGACAGCCCCGTAAAAAATTGAGTTTGTGATAAATATATGGAAGTTTCTATATAGCTATACTTTGGGTATGATTTTGTTAACATCTTACTTTGCTCCCTTTCAGTCTTTATCACATTTTTATATGAATATTTGTTAACACATAAATATATGTTGATCATATATGTAAATACTTAGAGTCAAACTTTAAATGTTAAAAGTTTTATTTAAATGCTTAAAGTTTTCAGCACTATTTCTTCTTTTTTCTTATCTCTAGTTTTTCCAGGACAGTCCTAATTTAAACTTGTTTCAGGGTAGTTATCCAAAGCACCTTATTTACTCTCAGAGATGTCTCAGTTTGGATAATGAATTAATACCTAATTATAAGACAACTGTAATGGGGGATATAAATGTAAACTCTTTGAGTCTATTTTTAATACTTCTTGCCAAAAAATAAAATGGACTAGATTTATGTATACTGTTTGTTACCAATAGGAGTTATTTCCTTACTTTGAGAGACTGTACTAATTGCTTTTCTAATCCAGATCCATATATAGATAACTGTAGTCTTAGATTTTCTGCATCAAGGAAAAAAATGTCAAATAAGAATGTACAGACTTACTCTCGCCTTCCTCGGCCTTTCACCAGCCAAGCAATGAATTCCTTGGCAGCTTGGCCTTCCAAATAAGAACTTACATCACTGGTAAAGGTCCCTTCAGCATGTCTCTCAAATTCATCATGACGTTTGGCAATGTTATTCCTGAAAGAAATGTGAAAGTTAAATTGAAGATCTGTCTCTTTGGCAATATGGTTCTCACCTATAAGCAGTGGCAACTTTGGGTTCAGGATTCTATATAGAAAAGACTTAGGGAGTTTAGAAGAGGGTTGCTAAGGGATTTGTCTTGAAGCTACATTAATTATCTGGATTGAAGTTTGGTGGGAGAGGGCAGACAACAATGGAGGGGCTGAAGCTCCTCCCTTCCCAGCACACATCTGCACCACTCCTTCTTATCTGTGCTGCTGGTTATTTGGGCGGCATTCTTTTTGTTCAGTCTCAACAGGAACAGGCTATCCACTGTGCTATGCTATGCTCAAGCAAAGCAGCTGTTTATTATTAGTATGGAGTCAGAGTTAGTTAACTGATTCGAAGGAAAGCAAAGGACCATCTTGACATGTCATCAAAGGGACCACATGATAGTGTATTAAAGAAAATGTGTGATCTGCTTGCAATGAAGAAAGTGAAGGTGATGACCCCATGTCAGCCTCAAGTGTGCTCAAGTATGATGACCCCATGTCAGCCTCAAGTGTGTGCAGAGCACTCTGTGGAGGTGGGCCATCAGCTGCTTTCAGTCTCCCTGGCACATATTACCCCTGGAAGATTTCGTCTTAAACACATGGCAGACACTGCCTGAGCATGAGGATTGCTTTACACTAATTTGCCAAGTTATGGCATTCTCATTCTAGAAAATCAGGACTGTTGTTTTCATTTTTATAAATTTGTGATTTCTCACATTTCACTATAGTCCTTGACAGAACCTTCTCCCAGGCTCTGCTCTGACCCTGATAGCCATCTTCCTGTAAGTGTACCCTCTACTTTAGAACCAACTCTTTTTCTCCTGTCCTCCTGCTTGCTGGAGCTCTCTTGAATACACTCCTTCTCTCTCCTTTCTGTATTCTATCCAGACAAATGTATGTCCTTTTCCTGATTTCCTGATTAGATTCCTTCAGCTACTTTGTATGCATCACTCCCTTCCCCTTGTGGGCCATCCTCCAAAAAAGATTGTGAAATTCCACCATCTCTGTGAAACCCTTGCGGATAATTTCCTACAGTAGCCTAGATGCAGCAAAAAACCCAACACTCGTCAAAGAAAATCGAACATTAAAATGTATGCCTTACGATAGGCTTGTGTTCTTATTTGCTGCCTTCTCTCTTTATGCTGTACAGCTAGGCTGTAATTTTAAATGCATATCTTGGATTTTAGTCTACAAGAAAAGGAATACATCTGTTTCCATCCCTTACCCTTGGCTAGGGAATAATTTTAATGTGATCATAGTCACGGGTTTGAGCCCCACAAGGGAATGTTATATTTGCTCTATCTTTTGGTAGGAATTAGCTTCCTAAACTTGTAGGTCCACAAAAGTCAGTTTTCAATTTTAAGGGAATATGAGTAAGCGAGTAAACATTGCTAAGACCACAGTTGGGAAAATAATTAAAAGTCTATGGCATATTGGAGGTTGGGTAAAGGTGTTTAGAGGGGTGATACATTCAGAGTCACAACACAAAGGATAGCATTCTTGAACCTGCATATTATCAAAATTGAAAGAGCTTTTGGACACTGTTTGATATGCATTATAACTTAAGAATGTCAGGAGAAATTTTATACATATTTATTACATCCATGTGCAAGTTTGGGAACAGGTTTAGATTCTTACCTATTCCTCTTGGTATTCATCAACCACTGCACAAAATCTTGAGCACGCCGGGAGTCCAGATACTTGCTGTAGTCACTGGTGAATGTGCCCTGTGAATGACGCTTGTCTTCATTCATGTGGTCCGGATTATCAAGTGGGTCTGTCTGGGAAGCTGAGAATGATCTGTGAAGAAAAGTAATTGGTGCAGCATAATTCTCTCCTCAAGAGTGAACTCATTTGAGAAGCTCCATCACTAGAAAACGCAGGATCATATGAAGCAGTAAGGCAGGAATCTAGAGTATTTCAGTAGGTAGTTTAGAGGGCTCTTGCTTAGCTTGTCATGGGAATCCCATAGATTTAGTAAAATGGAATGTACTCTTATTTTGAACTCTAGTAACTGCCTTCTTTTCTCTAAAATAGGATACAATAAATCTTTATTTTACTAATTAATCTATCCATGACTGTGCTAATAATGACAGAAGAGAACAGTGACTTGAAAATGTAAAAGAGTGAAGAATTCCAGATCCTTTGTTTTGGGCAGAAGATTTATGTTCCCAGTTTTGTTTTGCATATATTAATATAAAAACAGCACAAATTACCTAGTTATATGGTAGCTAATAGCAGAAGGAAGACAATTGAAAGTTCAAAAAAAGGCAAGAAAAAGCACACTTTCTAATTTGAAACTGTATAATGAATAATCCTATGTTAATAATCAACAGTTGGTTGGCATGGGAAATATATGGGAAACACTCAATGTGATTAATGCTCATAAATGAGATACTATTTTTACCTGTCAAATTAGCAAATATTAAACTCTGGGGAGGATAGTGTGAGAGGTGTTTCTGTACTGCTGATGGGAGTGTGCATGTGCTTACATTTTCTGAAAAACAAGTTGGCAATATACTATAAAAGATTTAAGCTCATTCAAACCCTTTGACACAGTCTTTCTACAGCTAGGAATCTATCCACAAAACATAGTAAGAAATGTAGGGAAAACTGTATCTGTAAAATGTTGTTTGCAACATTCATTGTGGGAAAATTTGAAGACTTCTTAGTGTCCAGTAGAAGGTGAATATCTAAATAAATATCATGTATTTATGAGATGAAATAATATTCAGCCATTAAATATATTTAATAGATTTTTAATGATATAATAAAAAGCTAATACTGCAATGTTAAGAGGAAAAGCATGATACACAGTCATATAATGAGCTGAGAGATATTAATATACAGCATGTATAGAGTACAGGAAAGTAACACCTCAAATATTTTTAGTTTGAATAGTTTTCTTTGGACAATAGAATTTTGCATACTTAGGTTTTTTTGCATATTTTTCATATTTGCCATCATGAACATGTATGAATTTCACAATTAGCAAGAAACGTTGTGATTTTTTAAAAGGAATAAAAAAGAGAAAAGAATTGGTGTGAATAATTAAAATAATCTACTATGCAGTGTGTGAGTAATGAATGGATAGATAGGATCATCTGAAGAATTCGAAGAACTATAATTGCCCATATTACATGTTTTCCAACATTTCTCACCCCTTTGGTCATAAAAAAAACACATCCTCTGATCTATACTCCAGAAAGTCTGCTTTCATCACAATGATACTTTAAACATTTGAAAATTATTCAGTATATTTACTCAAAATTACTGAGAGCCTATTCACTTACCATAGTTTTCACAAGCTTTCTTTTAACCATAATGCTATGTTAGTTCAAGTCTAGAGATTTAATACCTGGATTGCTCCTCTGTGTCTTGAAGGGAACGTTGCCAGCTGCCTTGTACCAGCATTACAAACAATCCAGCCACAAAGTAAATGCTTTTCATTTTTGCTGCCTGTCAGAACACAGAGTGGGGGTGGGGCGTGGGAGGACAGACAACCATGTTTAAACATGTCGGACTATATTAGTTCTATTTTGGTTAGGTAAATATCAAAAATAAAAGAAACAGCTAGTCTTTTCTATTTTATTCTGATTGTATTTCCAGCTTAATTTCAAATAGTGGATTATATTTTTCCCCAGAGTTTTTTGGAGGCAAAAAAGGATACAAAAGATAAGTTTAAGCTTTTACATTAATGTAGGACATTTCTGTTAATGATTAGAAGGCTCATTTCCAGACTGGAAATTAAAATGTCCACAATAAACATTTAAAATACCCACTGTAGATGATATGCTACATATGGTTAGCCTGAATGGCACCTTATCCATCATGCCACCCCCTTCACTATCAGTCTGGCTTTCAATTAATAGTCCTTCACTTCCAAGCATTTACATTATACTGCATTTCAACCATCTTAAAGCAGCCTCAGGCTACAACTTGGCATACCAGCTGTCGGTTCAGATGTATTATTCATTTATATTTTAAATAGTGTAACTTGGTCTAGACTTTGTAATTATAAAGCGGCCAACAGATTTGAGGTATTTTAGGGTGCTTTGACCTGTTCTAAATTAAAGGGAAAAAATCATTTTAAAGACAAGCAATTTGCAACAAGAACTAATGCTTCTGGCAACGTGAACAATCACAACTAAGGAACTAAGAGATTACTATAAAAAAGAAAATTAGTGCTTGCTTCTGAAGTCTTGGAAGTCCCCAGGTTGTTTTATAATCGAATTGAGTTCAGAACATGTCTTTCACTGCTAGTGACACCAAGACCTGGTTCTAGGACACACCTGATTGCTTGTCCTTGTGTCACAAGCAGATGCCCTGTGAAGCCATAGGATGCCAAAGACGTGAATGGGGACTGGGACCAAGATGAATGTGGGACAGAATGTCCAGAGCAAGCTTATCCATTTTCTGAATGGAAAACCTCAAGTCCGGTATTTGTCATGAACTTCCCTCTGCTACTTTCAAACCCAGTAGTATTTCCTTTGAGCAGTGGAAGTTCTCAATCCAAGTTTGGTTGTGCTTATCCATAAATAATTTGAATGAGTATTTTTAGCAAATGACATTTGGTTTGGAATAAGGATTTTACAAATATTATCTTTTTAAACTATCAATCTTTCCCTTACCATCCTAGCCATATTTACTATCTGTAGCACTAAAACATAGAGATCATAATACCTGTAGCAGTATCTCTTCTCTTTAAAAAAAACAAGTTTTTATAGATTAAGAGGTCAATTCAACAAAGCGGCATGATAGGAATGATATATTCACCCTTCTTCATTCATCAACATTAAATTACTAATTTGGTGTTTTGCTATGCTTCAGTTTAAGTCAGTTGGAAAACTTTGGAAACCTTGCCATATATTTAGGTAGTGTCTTCTAATTATAACTCTCTACTATAATATCCATGATTTCAGGAATATTTAATAATTAAAGTACTTCTTTTTAGGATACCACTTTGGAAAGTTTCTTATAACACACTGAAAACTGTTAATTTAGTCCTAAATAATTTCTCTCACTTAAAGTCACTAAAAGTTTTGCAGTGTCACCTATTGCAGTGTCACCTACTGCCCTATTATGTTCCATTGGAGCAGATTTAAAGCAGGGGGTTATTCTGCAACTTTGGAAGCTAATGGAAAAAGAAACAACTCTAAAAAAAGTTAATGTTCTACGTTTAATACAAGCAATCAAATGAATTCCTCTGAAAGAAAAAATTGTTCTTTAAAATCTCACTTGTTTCATGAAAGTCTATCAAATTCTGAAAAAGTTAAGAATAGAGGTAATTAATAGTGAAGAATGAGTTAATTAATTGTTGGAATAATGAGAAAGTAAATATACTACTTTAGTATCAAAATCTTATTCAATAAAAATAATTTCCAATTGGTTTCCCCTCTTTAGGTACTCTAAGGAGAGTTTCATAAGTTTAAAAGGAAAGTATAGTACGAAGTGTTTCAGAAAAAGTAATCTTAGACCTAAGAAAGGAGATGTTATATTATATCCCTAAATATATTTGCACTGTAAGACACATAAATGCTTTTAAAACTGGTTAGCTCATTTAATCTAATAGGTCCTCAGTATATATGGAAAAACACACTACTTAAGCATATACTCCAATTGAAGATCTTTGAAAATTTGATCTTTTTCTTTAGAAGTTTAATCTAAAGAGATGTACTAAAATTTTATTCCAGAGTGAAGCTATTTTAGATTTAATTTATTTCTATTGGTTCTCAACACAAAGCAAATAATTATTAATCTATGGTTTTACTCAGATCCATCCAAAGAGATTCCCAATAATAGATATTTTTCCGCAAGTATGTTATGTCTTATTTACATAGAGATGATTTCATGGACTTTGATTCTTTGATAGACATCAGGAATTTAAATATTTGAAACACAGTATTGAATAGGCTCTTTTGAAAAACCAGAGGTTTTAATTGGTAAAGAGAAATTACTATTATAGCCTCTCTAATGGACACATTTCTGCTTAATTTAAAAGGCGCCTTCTGTTCAAAGTAGTATACACATCTATCAAATCCAAGGAAAAATATTTATTCTTCAAAATGTTACCACTTATTTTAAAATGCAGTTCTCATAACAGTTAAGTCTTGTCACAAGTGCATGGGTTTGAATCTTTGTTTTTCCTTATATTTGATATCTTTGCATTGAATTATTTCTCCGACTCACTTTGCGGCTTCACTATGTTAAAGTACACATAAATGCATTTGATGCAACTTTTTGGTCTCAATTTCTCCCTTCGAAAGAACAACACTTTAATTCATAATTCTTTGCTCTCTTAAAAATACTTAACTGTACCCCAAACCGGATTTACAAGTTCACAGTCACATCTGAGTCTTACCTTCTAATACCGTGGGGCGGAACAGGGCAGGTGGTGAGCGCGCTAGCTCCCTCCGGGAACTTGGGATGTGCTCTGTGTCCTGAGCTCTGCACTTCTGCACCAAAGAGCACTGCTTTTATATACTCTCCAGCTCTGTTTAGCCTCACAGATATTACGCTGACAATATAAATTTCTCATCTGTAAATAATGAGTTTTTGTTACCAATGATTTCCTTCGCCTGCTCACTTTGCTCATCAGCATTCTACACTTCTGTTGGGTGAGACCTCAGAGACCCGGAAACTTTTTATTTACTCTTGTGCCTAGCAGTTTGGAAGTTCACCTTCTACTCTTGATCAGACATGAAAATCACTGAAGTTCTCTGAAGTGAATTTTTTTTTTTTTTTTTTTTTGAGTTGAAGTCTCACGCTGTCGCCCAGACTGGAGTGCAGTGGCTGCTCCCGGCCACCGCAGCCTCGACCTGCTGGGCTCCGGCGATCGAAGTGAATTTTGATGTTGAAGACAAAAGAACTTGAAATTACACAGCACATGGCCAGTCTATTTTGTACATAGCCTCGTTTGAGGTTTTACAAGTCCTTTGGTTCGCTACTTCGTCATGATGAATTTACCTGAATATAAATAATCAATTATTAATTCATCGATTCAAATAATGAATCATTCATTCAGCATATACCTATTAAAAATCTTCTATTCCCCACTACATGGAATTAATCAGTGTGATTTTTTGTGGGCAATTTAAGGATGTCAATTAAGACCTAATGTGTTCTGTTTCAATAAATTAGATTCAGGCAGAAAAGCTGAAGCAAAATGAAGATTAAACATACAAAATAGGTGATGCTAATGAGATAGAATCTCATTTTTATTTTTCCTTCTAATGTATATTTTAAAGTCTAAATTTACTGTTAAGAGTATGGGGCACTATGTCACAAAAGAATGAGGAAAATGGTTGAGATGAGATGGATACTTGTCATGTTTCCTGCCTTTAGTGAGCTGCCACTCAGTCCTTTAATGATCTATAAGATTCAGCAGAAATTATTTTGGTCACTTTGGAGAAATAGAAAATAGTAAATAAACTGCACAGACAGCAAAAGAACTAGTGCCAGCATAATTCAATTTTATTTTTGCTGTTACCAGTAAGCTGTGTTACCTTCATCAAGTCATATACTCTATGTCTCTGACTCCTAATTTGTAAAATGAGAGGGGTGAGTAAATGTTACACTTGATGTTTGCCTTAATTTCTGACATTACAGTACCCATTAAGAATCTGATTTGCCCCTCCCTGGGAGGAGAGCAGTGCATTGTACAGTGGGGTTCTTAATATTTCTGCATCTTCAGAATGTTTATCATTACAGTATTGGAGGCCCTTCTAAAATAAAAAATCTTATTTCATATAACAAGAGTATCACTACATTTCCTAACTAGATTCCAGTTTTCTGATATAACCAACTGCATGATGTATCTAACAACTTGTACGGAAGTAAATCATTGAGGCAACTGGAGAAATATTCCAAAAGAACTTAACTATTCAGTTTGCACATGAGACCAACTGTTTGATGTAGATCTACTTAAAAGCCATGGGGATCAGTTCCATGTAAGATTGGAAGAGCTCACTGAGGAGTTTTGTGCTGGTGACTGTTGATGGTATAAAGCCTTGATGCTCAAAGTGTGGTCCAAGGCCTAGTATCACCTGGGAGCTTGCTAGGAATGCAGAATTCCATGTCCATCAGAATCTATATTTTAACAAGATCCCCAGGAAATTCATGTACATATTAAAGTTCAAGAAGCACAACTCTATAAAATATCTATTTTGCTATCTTTACCTTCTCACTGGTACTGCTAGTGTCTTGATCTGAGCACTGCATCTTGGCACCACCAGCAGATGGGGTGAAAGAGCAGAGAAAGGCGTCACTCCTGGGTCAGTCCAAAGTAACACTTAAAAAAACACACACAAATGGCTTGAAAATGTGGATTGGCTTAATATATGATTGAATTACCGTTCTTTCCAATTACAGTCTTCATGAATATATTAGCTATATTTTTATTAATTATTTGGCAGTTTCAGTTCTATTTTTCACATTGTCTGTTGAGTAGATGTTTCTATATGTCTCTTGGTCTCTGTCTCTTCTTTCTTTTCAGATGCTACTTGTTTATGGAGCATCCCTAAGAAGGGAGATCCATAGGTTTTAGATACATAAAATCTATAAATCTCCCTTTATACACATACACACACACATATGTATGTATATGTGTGTGTGTGTGTGTGTGTAAAAACCCTTAACACAGCACTGGCATTGTAGTAAATATCCTTCCTCAATATTTTACTACAAAACATGTTTCTTCCCCTCTATTCTACTTGCTTTCTATTGTCTTAGAATAGAACCCATTTGGAAGTGACTATCCCAAGTTCTTTCTGGAAATTTCCTCTAAATTCACCTCCAGCCCACAACCCTAATTCTTGGGGTCTCCAATATTATAATGATAAACACTCTGAAGATGCAGAAGAATTAAGAACCCCACTGTATGATGCACTGCTTTCCTCCTTGGGAGGAATACATCAGATTTCTTTCTTTTTTTTTTTTGAGTTGGGGTCTCACTCTGTTGTCCAGGCTGGCGTGCAGTGGCATGCTCACGATCACCCCAGCGTCGACCTGCTGGGCTCCAGCGATCCTTCCACCTCAGTCTTCCAAGTAGCTGGAACTACAGGCACGCGCTACCACACCTGGCTAATTTTTGATATTTCATTGTAGAGACGAGGTCTCATTAAGTTGCTCAGGCTGGTCTTGAACTAACGGGCTCAAGAAATCCACTTGTCCCGGTCTCCCAAAGTGCTGGGATTATAGGCTGAGCCACCGAGTTCGGCCAATCAGATTTCTTAATGGACACTGCATTATCAGAAATTAAGGCAAACATCAAGTGTAATTTACACTTGCAGATCTTCCAATGACTGTCCCAACAGCAGCCTCTACTTGGCCTTCAATTCCCATCCTTGCAGTTATTTAGGAGTGAGGCAGGGGAAATGGTATAGCCCTGTATTTACACACATAGTGTCATATATGACTTCATTATGCTCAGTACTAAGGATAATGTCCATGGGCTTACAACCTGTGCAGTTGCATGGGGTTTAGCAGAGCCACAAGCTTGCCTAATGCGTTGCTCTTACCATCTTGAAATTCTTAATATTTTTTGAACACAAATTCACATTCTTATTTTGCACTGGTCTTACAAATTATTTTGCTTAGGGACTCATCTCACAAGACCATGGAGTGTGGGATTATCGTGTGTTTATTTGCCATAGCAGTTACAAAGTATTACCACCCATTTGGAAGTCAATTTGATAATATTTATCAAAGTTACAAATACCTATAGGTCTTGGCACAGAATAACTAAAGCACTATTCTGAACATTTATCCCACATATATTCCTATGTGTATATGTAATGATGTATGGTATAAGGTTGTGTGTAGTAATTACAGGTTGGAACTAATCTAAGGGACCATCAATAGAGCACTATTTAGAAAAAGAATGAGGAAGCTCTCTATTTACCAATATGGAAAGACTTCAAGATATATTGTTAGCTGAAGAAAAGGGAGGTGGATAATGGGCATATAGTTGACTATCTTTTGTGTTAGAGGAGGGAGGGGCACAAATATACATATGTTTACTGGTAGCGGCATTTTTAAAAAATTGAAATACACAAGAAACTAATAAAACTGCTTGATCTGTAAGGGACAGTGTGGAGCAGTGAGGTAGACAGGGACATATTGCCAAGTACTTTTCCAAAGTATACTGCTATGTGGTCTAGATTCTTTGACCATTTGATTGAATTGCCTATCCAAAGCAAAACAAAACAAAATGCAAGTTTAAAAAGTGATATTACAAATGCTTTGGAAGGAGGTTAGATTTTAGAGCTAAGTAACTACCTTTTGCCCTTGCAGTCCACTTGTTGTTATTGTATCCAAGAGAAATGAAAACATGTCCACAAAGAGGCTTGTACAGAACTGTTCAAAGAAACTTTATTTACAATAATTAAAAACTTGAAATAAGTGAACTATTCATCAACAAGAGAAAGAATAATCAAATTGTGATATGGAACTTATACCATGAAATATCTCTCAATAACAGCAAACATGAAACAACCAACTGATACAGGCAGCAACATGGATGGATTTCACAGACATTATGCTACATAAAAGAAGATCAACACAGAAAACTCTATACTGTGTGAATTCATTTATCTAAGTTCAAGAACAGGCTAAGGTAAAAAAAAATGAAATAAAAAAAGCGTTCATTCAACTGTCCAAATTGTACAGCTAAGATTTGTGATTTTAATTTATGTAAATTTTACCTAAAAGAGAAAAAAAGGAATAGCTAAAAAACAAAACAAAACTGATGTGTGAGTGGAGGTAGAGCTAATGCAAGCTTGGCAGAATACTGATAATTGTTGAAACTGGCTTATCGATAACAGAATTTACTGTAAACTTTATATATGTTTGAAATTCTCCATATTAAAAAGTTAAAATAAAATGACCATGGGGATGGAGCTTTAGCATCAATTAATTAGTTAATACTTTGGAGGCTTAAGAGTTGAACCCTCTAGTTACTAAGTATTAACTCAGTAAAGGAAGTGAGATTCAAAGACACTTGATGGCAACCAAGCCCAGAATGGTAGCACAAGCAAGGGCCTTGGAAGGTAATGGAAAGTCAAGTGCAGTGAAAGCAGGGAGAGGGAGCCACCATTCAGAGGTAATGGAATCTAGGTCGCAGTTCCCTTCTTCTCAATGTTATTCAATACCTTAATATTATTCAACACTTGAGGATACGCCTCAGCTCTATTAGATAAAACTTCAGTAGTGACTGACCAAGTTTTCCTGATGAGCTTAAGGTTATCAGAAATTTTTGATTCTCAGAGGTAATCTTAACATGTTGGGCTCTTCCTAGGTTAGCTCACTCTTCTCCATAACAAGTGTCTTCTGAGGAGAGGTGTGAGTCTTCAAAAGGTTAAAAAAAGAAAAAAAGAAAAAAGAAAAAATTATGTACAGCCTTTGAGGGAAAAGTTTTCACTAATTGAGTTTTTTTAAGCTTTGAAGATAAAAAGATAAAGGGTCATTTAACAACAGCCTTTGAAAATTTAAAAATTGAGCACATAGAATATAATGATCAGATGCCCTTCACATCTCTGTGAGTGACTTGATGGGCTCAGGGATTCAGGGGGCAATAAAAGAACTGCCAAGGGAAGTTTTGAGTTTG